TCTTTCATAATATAATAAATAATACCACGATAACTCAATGCTGATGCAATATTTGGCTCAATCTCTAATGATTTTGTTAAATCCAAAAGTGATTTATCATATTCCTTCATCATATAATAAGCCATGCCACGATAACTTAGTGCTGATGCATTATTTGGCTCGATCTCTAATGATTTTGTTAAATCAAAAAGTGAATTATCATATTTCTTCACTATAAAATAAGTCATGCCACGATAACTCAATGCTGATGCGTTATTTGGCTCAATGACTAATGACTTTGTTAAATTCCAAAGCGATTTTACATATTGCTTCATCATATAATGAACCTTGCCACGATAACTTAATGCTGATGCATTATTTGGCTCGATCTCTAATGATTTTGTTAAATCCAAAAGCGATTTATCATATTCCTTCATCATATAATAAGTCATGCCACGATAACTTAATGCCGATGCATTATTTGGCTCAATCTCTAATGATTTTGTTAAATCTAAAAGTGATTTATCATATTCCTTCCTCATATAATAAGTCATGCCACAATAACTTAATGCTGATGCATTATTTGGCTCCATCTCTAATGATTTTGTTAAATCTAAAAGCGATTTATCATAATTCTTCATCATATAATAAATAATGCCACGATAACTAGATGTTGATGCAATATTTGGCTCAATCTCTAATGATTTTGTTAAATCTAAAAGTGATTTATCATATTCCTTCATCATATAATAAGTCATGCCACGATAACTTAGTGCTGATGCATTATTTGGCCCGATCTCTAATGATTTTGTTAAATCTAAAAGTGCTTTAGGATATTCTTTCATCATATAATAAGTCATGCCACGATAACTTAATGCAAGTGCATTATTTGGCTCGATCTCTAATGACTTGGTTAAATCTAAAAGTGATTTATAATATTTTTTCATCATGTAATTAGTCTTGCCACGATGACTTAATGCCAATGCATTATTTGGCTCGATCTCTAATGATTTTGTTAAATCTAAAAGTGATTTATCATATTTTTTCATCATGCAATAAGTCATGCCACGATAACTTAATGTTAATGCATTATTTGGCTCAATCTCTAGTGATTTTGTTAAGTCCCAAAGTGATTCAGTATATTCCTTCATCATATAATAAACTATGCCATGATAACACAATGCAGACGCATTATTTGGTTCTATTACTAATGATTTTGTTAGATCATTAAATGATTCATCATATTTATTTATTTTAAGATACGTTATCCCACGTAGTAAATAGGCATCAAACTTATTTGATTTCTGTTTTATAGCTGAATCCAAATCATTAATTGCTTCACGAAATTTATTACATTCAATATATACTTTGGCCCGATAACATTGTAATGAATAACTTGTGGGATATTCTTCAAGAATTTCTGTAAGTGCATTAATAGCCGTTTCAAGTTCTCCTGATTTATATGCGGCATTTGCTTTTCTTAAAGATGGGTGAAAGAATTTGGGTGTCTTAAAAAATTTTCTTGCTGTTGAATCCAATATCTTAAATTTTTGTTGAAATTTAAGTTTTGAGATATTAATTTCTTCTTCATCACTACTTTCACCAGGAATATTTTTGTTGTGAACTTGAACAACGTCATTATTATATTCAGGTAAATGATTACGGATTCCTTGATAAATTGCTGACTGTGGCAAATTAATTACAGAATTTAAATCAATTATTTTTCGACATAATGGACAAGTTGGTTGGGATGTTTTATTAATAATTTGTTGTAATGCCTCAGAACTAATTAAATGGTCACAGGGTAAGATTTGGAAGTTGTTTGGAATTTGATAAGTTACTGGACAAGATAATTTTGTAACAACAATGACCCTATGCGTTGACGAAGTCACGCTAGGGTTATTATCGCGAGGATCACCCATTCGAATAAGTGTAACCCGAA